ACCAGCTCGTGGCTGAGCCGTGCTGCGGGGGACGTGGCCGGGGACGGCGTGCCCAGCTCTGAGGACAAAGGGACAGAAGTCTGTAAAGCCAGCCCTCAGCCCCAGGCCCCTCGCCTCGGCGCGCCGGCGGCTTCTGCCTTTTCAGCCAGTGCCGTGATGGCTTTGAGATCCGCGCTCGGCCGCCGGCGCCGCACAATGGGCTTCGCTTTCTCCCATGGATCAGGGAAAAGTGGAGCTGCTGGACGGGTACCTGCTGTCGGCTGCGAGTGCTCTCTGCTTTCGGAGAACTTCCATGCGTGATGCCCTTAAATAAAAGAAGACCCTGAACGTGTGTTTAAATTATGAAAGGCCTTACTCTCCTTTTAAAAACATCCCATTTTTCAGGGACCTAGCCTTGCTAGACAATCCGAACACGCAGATTTGTTTAACCGCCAGGAGGATTCAGGCAGCGTTATAGGAGGATAAAGGGAATATGACGTATAGAAATGTATAGAATGATATTTCAAGCATGGAAAGAAATTAGCGTTAAGAAACAAAGACCTTTAATTCAGAGATTGTAGACTGAAGGATTTTTTTTTTCCTTAAGGTTCTCTGAAAACTTGGAGTCTGGCTTAAAATGGGACTGATGATTTACAGTTTGTGATTTTGCCCGCCGCTGCAGTTTTCCACAAATATTTTGATAATGATCACTATGGAGCAGCCTTTATATCAGATTATTTATTTTTTTTTATCTCCCAGTTGCTTTAGTTTTGAGCCTTGTCGTTAAACACACGATTTATAAAAACTTACAGCCTCGTGCTGCGGGGAGCTGGGGCTGCAGAAATGCATGCTTTAAAAAACAAAATAAGCCAAGAGACTGAACCCAAAATGAGGGGGGGGGGGGAGGGCCCAAAAGCTGGGGGGTGGAACTAGGTCAGGTTCCCCCCGCTCGGGGCGGCGCGGAGCTGCCTGCAGCCCCCCGGGACCGCCGCCGCCGCGCTCATTGGCAGCACGGGCAGAGCGATGATGTCATCTTCACTTAAAGGCAAAACTAGAAGGAAATAGAATTTTGTTCCCATGATTCGAGCTCGTGTTTACAGTAGTTGTAAAATAACGGCATCCATGCCAAAAATCCCGACCGGATTGGGTTCCGTGCACAACGCGGCGGGTGGGAGATGGATATCTGCCCGGTTAGCCGGGGGATGCAGTTTGTGCGCTATCGGTGCGCGTGCAGGCGGGGAGAGGTTTCCTTTAGCTGGGTGGGTTCTCTTTTCTCCTTGCCATAAATTGTGATGGTGGTAGCTGCGATACAGGTAATGCTGCATCAGAGTATTTGGGTGTTCCTTGCTGCTGAAGATATATCAGTGTGGCGTTATTTGATGTTTAAGATGCTTTGGAATATGATTTTTGTGAATTATTAGAAAAGATGCGATCCAGCCACACGTAAGGCGAAGCTGACACATCCAGCCTATTGTTCAGGATTGAAGGGGCAGTAAAAGAAACAGCTATTTATGTAGCTGGTGTAGTGCATTTTGAAAATCTGAAGTAATTATCTAAAATTCTTTCAGCTTTTACAAATCAAATAGATTTTGAGTTTGCAAATTTTGCAAGTGCAGGAATGAAGTTCAGTTCTTCGTTTATGTTTAAATACAAATTAAACCCAGTAATATTTATAAAGCCTGTTTGCATCTGTTTTATTTGTCCGTTATCCATCTATTTTAATTGTCTGATAGAGGTTAAGTAAATTCAGACATCAATACCGTTTTTTTTTCTTTTAAGACAGTTTTGGAAGGTGCTAGGGGATGGTTGTTTCTTAGTTAAGGTGCAACTCCCATTGTAACTTGGGTTATACGCCAGCAAGAATTCAACTTGTGGGTGCCTGCTGGAAGGAGCCTGTGGTTTGAGATGGGGTGGGGTGTCCTGTTGGTGCATCTTGGCTTCCAAAATGTAAGAATCTTCTTCCACATGCCCCTTGTAGAGTAGCTGGAAAAGACCTTCCAGTGGATTGTCTCAAACTTCCCATTCGATATTCAAGAATAAGCAAACAAGCAACAAAAAAGGGATTTTTGGCCCTCGCTGCCACCAGGCCATTCTGAGAAGCTCCTCTTCCCTACAGGAATTACTGCCATCAAGGGCTAGTTTGGTTTTGGAGGATTACCCTCAAGTGTGATGCAAACTGGGAATAATGAGATACATGGCGATGAAAATTCTTTCCAAAGAGAGGAAAACGGAAACAGTGAGTGCCCTTTCTTGCAGATGAAGTAAATGATCCAGAATACTAAATAATGGCTTTAACAGAGCCAGCACCCTCTGTCCCCCTCCCTTTCTCTGCCGTGCTTTCCTCCCTTCTTGCACGGGAGCAGAAGTCATTTGCCTTCGAGGAACTGGAAGCGCGGCGGCAGTCCCCGCTCAAAGGTGTGGGATCCCGTAGGTGCTTCCTCGGAGCCGCTCTCCAGCAGGGAGATGGCTGGGCTGCCATCCAAGATACTGAGCTGCTTGCAAATATTTCAGGTTTTAGTTGCAAAAAGAAACAATAAAACTAAATTGACTACTGCAGAATTAAGGCAATTTTGGTTAGAAACAGAATTGGACTTGGTTGAGGGAGGGGGAAAAAAAACCCACCCACCAAAACTTTTAACATGGTTTCCAAACCATGAAAATTATAAGAATTATAAACCTCACCTTTCAATAAGAAATTTACTTCTTGATCTAGACAGAAATCTCCTAATGAGCATATAGGATGAGATGAAAGTGTTGAGGCTCTCGTGTGACATACATACATAAAAGAGATTGTTTTATTGTGAACTGATGATGGGTGTATCTGTGTACGCATGCGAATGTCTGCAGATACTTGTTTTACTTATTTCTAAATTCGGATGCAAAGATGAGAAATAACCCACCTAAATGCTGCTGAAAGTGTTAATAGATACATGAGATTCATTTAGGAAAAAAAAAAAAAGAGAAACATTGGGAGTGACAGTATATGCATAAATAGATGATAAAACGAATAAAATGATATAAAACCTAACGTGGAGCAGGGGTGCTCCGAGCAGTTGTTGTGCCGATACGTGTGTGTGGATGAGGTCAGTAAAGATGCTCTGCTGGCTGCATCTGCAGATCCAGTAGCCAATTGATCTAATGCAGTTTCTAAAGGCTTTCTATACAGGTGATGTCATCCTTTTAGCTCGCTTCCCCTCCCACTCTCTTTCCTCCTTATTAGATATTTCATCTTGCTGCGGAGCATCCAATCGATGGGAGCTTCTCCTGAGGGAGCTGCTGAGAAGCAAGCAAAGATAGTAGGAATTAGGGCTCCAGCAGCCGGGCTCGCCGGAGCCATGGACGTACCGTTTTGTTGCGCGTTACAGAAATGTTTTAATTGGAAAAGCTAGGCGTGGGTTAACCCTGCCGTCCGACCGGGGCGTTAGGATACGGAGCAACACTGCGGAGTTGTAAACTGCATTAAAAAAAGGAAGGGGGGGGGTGGGGAGGGGGGGGGCAAAAGAGAAAAGGGTTTGTGTTGCAGAGGCTTTTAATACATTCCACAGTGCAAACCTGTTAGAGCATATATCCTGGAGCTACGATCCGGACGCTAATTCGATTTTTTGCGGTTGTGATGGACAAGAGTATAAAGAAGAAACTTTAATATCCGGGGTGTGGGATTCCTGAATCGCCTGAGATGCTGAAGAGCCTTTGCAAAATTTCATCTACAATATGAACGTGAAGTTTCTGAAAAGTGGACCCGAAGATAAGCCGCTCGTAAATGCGTTTTAGTGAAGAGAAAAAAAGGAATTTGAAGAATTCGTATCTCACCTTTTTAATGTATTGTTGCTTTAACCTGCAGTTCTAATCCGTTTCAGAATTAATTCAATTTTAGCAGCACTTTTTGGGTACATGCCTCTTGCCTGGGGGAACATATGGATATTTGTATTTGAAAAGCTAGGAAACATTTTGATTTGAATTTATGTGCTTGTTAAAACTGGAACATTTTCATAGGAATTGCTGCTGCTGCTAACTCACTGCAATACTGAAAACTACTCAGCTATAGTGGAAGCTGTAATCGAATTCAGTGTGAAATTCAAGCCTGAGAAGTTGCATGCATGTACGTTTGCTGCTTTGGTTTATGATTTTTAAAGAGAATCCAGAAGGGATTTTACTCCGTATTTTTCTTCGGTGGCTTTTGTTTGAGAAAGGAAACTTTTCCCCCTCCCAACCTAAGAAATGGCTTTTCTTGTTCGATGTTATGCCAACTGCCTGCAGCCGTGGGCCTCCAAAGTAAGTAAGATTTTGTGTGTGCTGTGTTTCCCTGGCACGTACTGCCAGCCGCGGTGCCGTTCCAACGCTCCGTCTCAGACCCCGGGTGCTGCTCGGGTGAGATGCTGAGCTCCTGCCTGTGCGTGGGCTCATCCTGTGGGATCGTTTCTGAATGGGAATGGGGATGGGGGTCTTGAAATCTTGGAATTGTTTCATATACCGATAGCTTACAAATTAACAGGGCGTATGAAAAATGCCAATTGCTTACGAAATGTGTGAAGCTTGCTTTTTAGCCTATAAATATGGAGGAAGTAGTATTGAAGTGTAACATTTTTATGACTGCTTGCATATTTGGCTAACTTGAAATTACTGGTATAGAAACCCACTGATGTTCCAATTTTCAAGCTGTATGAAGCTCGACTGCTTGTTTCCTTTGTGCAGCATTGTGGAACTGGTTAATTATTTAGCTGAACTATGTAATTACAATTAGCTTTAAAGGACACAAATTATTTTGTGTGTCTGAAGACGCAGTATTTTTGTGAAACTGGGGAGGGAGGGTGTTGCTTTTAAAGGAGATAATGAAATCTAGAACATTCGAGCAAACCCAGCTATTGAGATAAAAGCCTTTAAAGAAATTTAAAAATATACTTTTCTCAGACACTTGCTATTTGGTATGGTTGTGCAGAAAATTAGCTGAGTTGCTGGTGTTTTATTAATGCTACTGCCAAAAAGTAGTCACCTAAGGCTCGAGTATTGCCTTGTAAACCTGAGGCCAGGCATATTTTGGTTATTATTTATTACAATTTTGTATTTAAGTTGCAGCTCATGCAGGCTAGCATAAAGATTGTGCAACTTTCTTGCGTGAGCAAGCCGGCGGGGTTTGGAGGCAGCGGGCAAAATCCTTGTGCTCTCAGCATCATGAGATACAGCAGTGACTTTGGAGCAAGAAATTTGCTCTTGACTTCGGTCCCAGAAAGTTTAGGGTCTAAGTGACACGACAGTGTGGGAAGGCACAGGGGAGAAGGACAGCTGGGTGTGCGGAGTCCCTGTGCAGGATGGTTTTCCTTGCTTGGTTTTTATGTCTGATAAAATCCAAATGGATCTCCCTGTGTATGGGGGCGAAAATGCTGAGCTTCAGGGTTTTCATTTGCAGTTGCCAAAATCCATGTGTAGATACATGGGTGTATCCCGGATTTGGGCTGTGTCTCACGTGCCGAGTCCCCCGTCGCCGGGCGAAGCGGAGCTGCAGGTGCCCGTTGCCTTGAAGGGCAGATGGGCTCTGCGTGCC